ACTCCCTGACTTAATAATTTACCAGTAATACATATATTACGTTCATTAAAATCCAAAACGTTACAACAGACACGGGCATAGCGAACGAGTTGTGATATATAAACACCGTAAGATGGTGCTAAAGGAACATCACCATCCAAAAAAGGAAAATTTACAATAGGGAACGAAAAATCGTCCCTTTTGTCGTAAATTTTAGTGTGGATTTTCCCGTGTAAAACTGAAATATCTATCTAGGAAAGGACAGTTATTACCGTTTACATTTGATTTATTTAAAGTAAGTTCCTTTGGGTAAATTTCGGAAGTATATTTAGAAAATTCTTGATTATTTAACGAAAAAATATCATCAAGATAACGGTAAGCGTTGTTGAATTTATCAATTAAATGCAATTTAGACGGGTGTTTACTGAGTTTGGTCATAAACTGTGATTAATAACAGTACAAAAACAAGTCTGCTATTAAAGGGGCGCAACAAGTGTCCATAGGAATACCTACAACCTGTCGATAAACTTTGTTGCCGAAACGTACAGAAATATTATCGAGGCGAAAAAATTAACAGCTTCAATCATCTCCACACACCTCCAGTAAGTATATCTATCATATTTACCGTTCTCATTAGCGAAGAAGGCTTTAAATGAGTTGCAGCAAATATATTTGCATTCAGATTTATCAAACGACCATTTAATTAAATAGGAAAACTTTTGTTTGATAAGATTATTATGATGTGTAGTGTAAAGAGTTGAAAAGTCAAAACTGTCAACAGTATCAAAAGGACCATCAAAAGCACGTAATTTATCTAGAACATCCAAAGAATTTTTTACACTCCAACAATATTTAAATCCACTTTTTTCATATATTTTACTACAAAAGTTAACATGGTTAATGATAATTTCTTTGATAGTAGTTAAGGAACTAGTTGAAACACTGAAAGATTATTTGTAGAACACTTATTAGAGGCCGAGATGAAACGATATTTTACTGGTTTTTTGTGTAGTTTAGGTAACCAATACATGTAGATGAATTTAAAATTTCATTCTTAAGAACGTCCGTGTAGTATTTACGGCATACAACCACCATATTGTTGGCTGCTTTGTCGGCCGGTACAAAGACAAACCGCGTTGAAAGTTCTTTAAGTTTATTTCTTATTCTCGAAATAGGCGTGTTATGTACTCTTTTATTTATTTCTGAATTATTTTCAAAATGTGATATTCGAATATCCACAACATTCATACATTTATTTAAATAAGAATCAATTAAGAGATTTTAATCAGATTTTTGCCGTTTACACCAATTTTTACAATACGAGGAAAGAGCGTCTTTTGTGACCTGACGACACTGTTTCCAATCTATTTAAGATGGAGGACGATATTTTTTTATTTTTTTTAAAGTTTTTAACCTTTCTGTATTGAACGATATTGAGGTCCCCCGTAATAACTTGGTCATAGGGATCATATCTAAAATTCGACGATTCACAGTTTCAAAGTTAGAGGAGTGTTATTTTCTACAGTGACGTCTGATGTTACTGACGTATAATTAAAAATTAAACTTCTGCTGTTTTTTTGTATGTGTACGAAATAATAGGTGGTTCTGTGTTATCAAAATAGGGAGGTATAAAGTTTTGAATGGTAGAGTAATTAAATATACTCGATAAGTTGATAAAAATCAATACCTCTGTTAATATATTTAACTTTCAGAAAGTGTCGTTTATGATCTTAATGTTTATCGATACGCGGGAACAGCCTATGGCGGCAAAATGCTGTAATTATACGCGAATATTTATAAAGAAGAAAGAGATTGTGTCACACTCCTTGAAAATATCATCTAATTTACTAATTGGTATTTGACCCAGTTTACATGATAATAGATGCCTACCATGGTTTTTAAATATAGATAGATCAACAAGTGTATAATGTATACGATGTTAAATTCGTTGATGTCGATTGATACGTTTGCTTTGAGACCTATTATTACGTTGTTTTGTATCAACAATATTCACGATATCAATAGAAGAAGTATTAGATATGTTAAAGCTGTTTTATACAAACATAAGGCCATTATCACTAGCACCTTTGAAATTATGATGTAATTAGGGGTTGTGGAGAGATTTTGTTATGAAATTCATAAATGTATTAACAAAAAGGAGAGCAATTGCACTTATCGAGCACATAAACACTTATTTTTTATACATCGATGCATGCATTTGATTAGCCATTTCCCTTTCACACACGTACAGCTTACGGGTGAAGCAAATTTTGAGACATTATTTTGGCGTTAAATCCTGTTTCATCGACATTCATTGACGTTCAGATGTGTCTCAGGACTCAAATTAACCCTCAGAATACCAGTTATGTGATTTAACGTGCATCAAACTTCTATCATTATCTGTTTATAGTCGATTTGCCTCTTACTGACAGGTGTTTTTTTCTGTAAAAACCATTTTAGGAGGGGGGGGGGGGGTAAAATGTAATTCCTAGTGTACCAGCGCAATTACAAACTTGAAATGAGACAAAAACCACTTAAATATCCTGATTTTTCTTTATCGAAAATGAAATAGATGTAACAAAACATTGTATCGTAAGTGCTTGCTTATAATAAAGTTGAAAACACTTTTGTTTAGATGAAGGAACATGTATATGTCAATGAAAAAATGACAGACTAAGTATAAAAAAGAAGATGTGGTATGATTGCCAACGAGACAACTCTCCACAAGTTTCCAAATGAAACAGAAATTAACAACTATAGGTCACCGTACGGCCTTCAACAATGAGCAAAGCCCATACCGCACAGTCAGCTATAAAAGGCCCCGAAATGACAATGTAAAACAATTCAAACGAGAAAACTAACGGCCAAATTTATGTACAAAAAATGAACGAATAACAAATATGTATCACATAAACAAACGACATGGTTTGGTATGGATTCCTCATATATTTGCTTAAAATCATGAATTTGGCAACACGAATATATCATCTCAAACATGATTTCTAAAAGAAAACAAGCTGGCTGATGATTTTCTATTTTTTCTCTCTCTCATCTGGAGTATTAGACTTTACTACTAAACTTCAATAATTGTTTAAGGATGTCAGTGGTACAGGGGTATGTTGAACCAACCCACAGCGGGAAGATCGCGTGTTCGATTTTCCCTGCCGGAGGTGTAAACATTAGTCCCTTTAATAAACTAAACTTAACTAACACAACTTTTCAAAAAGAAAACCACCTACATGCAAAAGTCGGATACAGAAATATTTATGTGTTTTATATAACGAAATTGTTTGTCCAATTCCAGTCCCACCCCCCTTTTTCAACTTTGCTCCTTTAGCCTAGGTCAAGGGTGCGTCGCATCAATTTATCATTGCTAATTTAATGAATTTTCTCTTGTAAAGACCAAGTTCAGTTTACCTCTTGACTGAATACGATTTAGACAAAAACTGGGTTTGAATTTGGACGAAAAAAGCTTCTGAAATCGGTTATTTTGAATGTTATTGACATCGATATTTGAAGGCATATAGCACGTTTTTCCTCTTTGTATACCAATATGAAAACTTGTATGTCTCTAACAGACTTTGGGCATTGTTTTTCCATTAAAACTATACCCTATTAGCGCAGCAATATGTCTCTACACGACGAAATGTTTTTTTTCACATTTTCCTCACAAGTCACTTGACTTTTGGAAAGATACCATGTGACCTTATCGAGACGAATTATCTTTAAATTTAATTTTCTGAAATATTCGATTAATTATCTTTTATATGAGTCCTTTGGTGCGAATTCAGTATTCAAATGAACTATGGTTGTGTCTTTTCGATAAGCAAAGGTCTAAAATGACTGAAAGGGAAAAGGATAAGGTAACATGCATGCTGAAGTAAAACTGATCATTTCCTTTTATCGGCACTAGGCAAAAATTCCTTGTACAATGATCTAATTGGAAGTGGCTGCACTGCAAATGTAAATATTGCCTACCCGCTACAACTCAAAATTATGCAGATGCAGACCGAACATGAACTTATTTCCTTTCATAAAAACCAAGAAAAACATGACGAAGGTTTTCTCTGTACAATGAATGAGGAGCACTGCAGATGTTAACACTGCTGACTGGCTGCAACTTATCATAAGCATGCTTGAGACTAAATATAAAATCATTCAAAGAAAAACTGTTCTGAGTGATATACAATTTCAAACTATCGCAAACAGGAAGTGGATGCACGGCAAATATAAAAATTGCATACCCGCTGCGAACTAACAACATGATAAAGATGCAAACTAAGTATAAAATAATTGCCTTTCATTACAGCCAGGAAAACATTGACGAAACTTCCACTTGTACATTTAGTGTTGTTCATTTTCATAAACTATCGGCAAACAGAAAGTGGCTGTACGGCTGTTTAAATCATTGTCTTCCAAAGACGCCAGAAAAACTTTGAAGAAACTTTACCTTGTGCATTTATTGTTGTGAGATTTCACAAACTATCGGCGTGAGTGTTGTAGAATTTTAAACTATCGACAAACAGAATTTGGATTTTCAGCAGATGTAGAAATGCGCAAAAACTCATCATTATGAAGTTGTAGACCAATTATACTTAGTCCCTCTCATAGAAGTAAAAAAAACTTTTGAGGAAACTTTTCCTTTCACAATGAGTGTTAAAATTTTTCAAACTATCGACCGACACAAAGTGGATGCACAGCAGATGTAAAAAATGCTTACCCACTGCAACTCAACATCATGAAGCTAGCTGCGGACAAAATATACTATAATTCCATTTCATAGAAGCCAAAAAAGTTTAATAAACGTTTTCTACTCAATGTGTTGTGGACGAACGGACAGACGGACTAAGACGAGCGTTTACTTGACCTGCTTTTGTCGCAGTAAAATGTGCTGTAATGGAAGGAAAACTTATTTACTATCATGTATTTCAATAATTTATTAGCCATGGTATTTTTTTGTCATATTATTGATCGTTGTGTCCTTCAAATGCAAACTAGTTGATAGAAATGATAAAATAAAACAATGCTCATATTTGATTTATTTCAATTGCATACAAAAATTAAACCATCACTATAAATGTTTGTAAATAATTTTATTTTAAATTTCAAGAATAATGACTATATAAAAAGCACATAGTTGATTCTCCATTGGTGTTAGCCACCCCAAATATACAATACCTACTTTGCAATTTACAAAAGAAATATAAAACACATTTTCTAGCACAAACTATTATAAAGTTGTAAGAACATGTAACGATAAATAATCAAAATGCTGCTATAACAATGAAAAACAATAGATAGATATAATGCTTAAAACACACTACGATTCCACAACAGAAATGTGTTTTTTTTTTTGTTTTTTTTTTTGCTGCAATTTGGAAGATTTCCTAGAAGGGGATTTCAGATGCATTCGAATGCCTACATTTGATTATTTGTCGACTGTTTTCTCAGTTTACATCTTATTGTTACAGAAAAAAATGAAATCAACAAGTTATAAATTTCATGCGTCCGAAGCGCTTTTCTTGATTTACCGTCATCAGGAACGCTCAATGCCAAATATTTGAAAGCCAAGGATGTGTAAGAACAGAAACAGTTGAAGAGCTTTACGACAAAAAAAAAGGACATAAAATAGGCAAATCCATCTAACACATGTCTAAGGTCAACTTTGCCTGAGAGAGTTGAAACCTTAATTTCTAAATAATTTCAAAATTTATAAACGGACAATTTTAGAAAGGTTTGTTATAAATCATGTCAGAACCGAGGAACCTACTACTGAGCTGATGATTCCCTTGGGGACTGATAGTCCACCAGTAGAGGTATCGACCCAGTGCTGTAAAAATGAAACAATACGTTATAAATTTCATGCGTCCGAAGCGCTTTTCTGAATTCGCCTTCATCAGGAACGCTCAATGCCAAATATTTGAAAGCCAAGGATGTATAAGAACCAAAACAGTTGAAGGCATATCCGTTATTTATCTGGATTTGTATTTATCATGTGACAAGTTTCGAAGGTGAGAAAATGTAAAAACAACATGAAAAGTTTTTTATTCAAAACCTAGGAAAATAGAGTTTTCTCTTATCCAAATCATTAATGATTTGCATAATACTAAAAGGAAACCATCAAAAAGGCATAGAAATATTTATTAGTATTAAACAAAATTTTATGGCCTACTCTCCTGCCAAAGCAGCATATAAATATATTGAGACTGTGTAAAGGTAACAATTGAGTCATTTAAATACAATCAAACGAAACAAAATCATCAATTCCACATCATTATCTACATTGGAATATATGGCAGAAACAAAACAAACTTTCAAAGTAAGATTTAAAATTAATATTACATGTACATTAACAGAACCATAATATTTACTTACTTGAAATGTATTATTCTATGAAGGTATACATGTTCAGAGCTAAACAATCCTCATTAAACAAATCTGTTATTAAAAAAAAAACTCAATATATGCAGCAATTAAAGCAAATATTTTCTTTTTTAAATCAAAAGACTATTTAACCAAAAATAAATTTTAATTTAATTAAGTACTCTGAATAAGCAACATACCACGAACCAGCTCATTAAAATAAAATACGAAATAATTAGTCTAAACAACATATTGTATTTTTTGTTTTTACGAAAACCAGAATAACCGACTTCGAACAGACCAATATTTGCTCTTACTCATAAATGCCGTCTGCTTAGTGAAGACACAGCAACTACCAATGCTCAAGTCTTTTCTTTGACCACGCCGTGTATAAACCAACGACCCCCGTACATGAGGCCATTTTTCTTAAAAGTAAAATAACGAAAATACCGAACTCCAGGGAAAGTTCAAATCGGAAAGTCTCTTATCAAGTGGCAAAATCAAAAGCTCAAACACACCAAACGATTGGAAAACAACTGTCATATTACTAACTTGGTACAGACATTAATTTTCCTTATGTAGAAAATGGTGGATTAAACCTGGTTTTATAGCTAGCTAAACTTCTCACTTGTATGACAGTCGCATGAAATTTCATTAAATTTACAACAAAAATGTGAAAAAAAACAAACAGACATAATAGGTAAAAATGTCCCAAATAGGGGTACAACAGTCAACATTGTGTTATAATCTTAATCAATATAAAAACAAACAAATATTTCAACAAAGAAAAACAAAATGACATATAGACTAAAACGAGACAACCAAGGCTTTTATTTTGACAGTAGGTGAGGGTGTACATTAATTCCTAATAAACTTTTTACCAAAGTTTTGAATATACCCTGTTGATAATAATAGAAAATATCAACAGAAACATGAATCTAAACATAATTTAACAATTTTTAAAAATATGAGACCTAAAATGCATTCATTATTTACTGATTTACTTTACAACATACAATCGTTAAAATTGACCAACGTCTTAAAATTAACTAAAATTCGTTCTTTTTATTCATCAACAGACATGTGTTCATATAAATAAAGTATTACAATGTATCAACACTAAAACGTGTTTCAGCATCATTTAACAATAAATCAAAATAAAATCGAACTCCAAACATATCGAAAATGAATAGGAATGTAAGTTAAGACAAGAAGTTTTTTTCAATATGATGTTCATGTCTGGCTAAAGTTATTTTGAAAAAGACATAAAAAAAGTTATGCCCTGGCACTATGATCGGACCATATGTTTATCATGTCTGTCCGTCTGTCATTCGCTTATTTGTCTTTGACTGATTTCACATGCGAGTAGATACTTATTTTATTTGTTTCATTAGTGTAAAATATTTGCTTGCAGATCTAGTTTACGTTTCATTCCAGTTAACTTACTTTTACGGAATTTCATCTCTTAAAAAATTATATAAACATTTTACAAAGACTTAATTGTTTAACATGTTTAATGCCTGCAGATGTGAGATGAATTTTGGTTGTTGATATATAAATGTATAGTAATGACTTCAACTTCAAATTTGCGGTCTGTTCCGGTTGACAGGCGATAACGAATCTCTAATTTTTGAAAGTATACTTGTCTGCCATGTTATGCAACTGTTTCAAATCTGTAAGGGTTTTTTAGTGCCTTACACATGATGACTTATAGATTATTTACATTTCGTATCTGTTTTAACGACTTTTCACGGGAAGGTATTTCTTATGTTTATTTACCGACATCTCTTGTTTCCATTCAAAAACTGAAAGATGTTTCCTACTGTTTTTCAAACGTAATTTTTGCAATGTTGCTGAAAACTTTTCATCTTCTTTAAAAATTACCACTTCATTCCCGATTAAGACATCATTCTCTGATGTATGTTCTTAATGTATAGTAACCAGTTCCTCAGGTCTTCCTTCACATTTATATCCGAAATGTCTGGGGGTGCCCCAGTAATGGATTTTAATACAGTGTCTACCTCAAACATGTTTATATCCTGTATATAGTGCCACATTAAAGCTACACAATGCAACTGCAATTCCGTAACCATATTTGTAGGAATACAGGCCTCAAGAAATGCAGATTTAATGTCCAGTTCTTTATGGTCAACATTTTCAAATATCCACTGCACTAGTTTCACATGTCCATGTCTACATGCTTCAATCATAAGATTCTTCTTGTCAAAGTTCCCGCAATATCCTTGCTCAAGAAAGTATAGTATTACGTTATAACTCTTCATGTCTAATAATCCACTTAGAACTTCAGATGCATTATATGATTTATCTTGTAATTTTTCAAACAAAAAATCTATTACGCAGATGCTTTTCTCTGAATTGCATATAATTTGATGTGGATGTAAACATGCCTCAAGGAAAGCTGTTAATATGTCAAGCTGATCATTATGTATTGTAAGAAATATATGCTTCAAAAGATTAAACTTTCCTTGTTGACAGCAGGAAATTAAAACTTTATTTATGATATTTTGATCATCTGAAAATTTAATAAGAAGGAATTTCAAAACATTATCACTAACATAGTTCTTACATACTGTAGTCACTATTCTACTTATATCTAAGGAATCATGATCAATTTCTATCAACAGATACTCACCAACAGATATGTCAAGATCATATCCAGTGCATGCATTAATTACTGCTTCATTCATGTCTAATGAATGGAAATATTTATTCAACATCTTAATAGTTTCAATCTGATCATCTTTACATGCGTTGTTTAAAATTAATTGCTTATCAAATGAACAGAAGCTTTCATTTTCAAAAAGCCAATTCACAACATCATAATATTTCTGTTCAAGACATTTGTTCATAATTTCTACTTTATCTTCTGTACTTAGAAAATTGAAGTAATGTTTCAGTGTAGAAACAAGCAATTCAAAAAACTTATCTTTTATTGGCCACATACGCATTTTGTTGTTACTTGTTAATTTTAATATACCTAATTTTAAATGTAAAGGTTTTATTTGAAAAGTTATAATAACCCATTTTACCATGGTTATCTTTCTAACTTGATATTCAAAATTTGACATTTTACCACATGCTAACATTAATAATTCCCTTTCATCAATATCCAGAGATGTTTGTTCAAAAGAATGAAGTATCCACTTTGCTACATCAATCCTGCCATATTCACATGCTGACATAAAAACTTTCTTTGCATCAATAGAAAAATGTGATTTGCAGTTTTCGTGAATCCATATTATTAACTCATAACTTCTTTTTTCATATGCCATATCTACTATTTCCTCCATTTTTAATTCTTCCTTATCTTCTGTACTATCCCAAATGAAGCTTACTATTTGCAATATTTTAGCAGAACATCCAGCAGTAAAGTGTTCAGTTACAGATCTTAAAACTTCTAATTTATCTAATCTTGTTATGTTAATCGTATTAATTATGTCTTGCAATATTTCTGATTTTTCACACACTAAAGCAAAATTGATAATGCAATGCACATCCAACAGAGTTATATCAAAGTTCAAAGCAAACCATTCTATAATTATGTATTTTCTCTTCTGATATGCCTGTTGACATACAACTTTTAAATCAAATTGTTTATATCCATATTTTCCAATTATAAACTTAACTATTTCCAACTTTATGACATCAACATGCGAGTCCGGTAACCCCCAAACGTTTGTTTCTTTTTCCAAACATGCTGAAGTAAGTGCTGACTGAATGGTAATGTTGTGGCTATTATCCAAAATTAGTTTTGTAATATAAATATGCGCTTCTCTGCAAGCAAGAGTCAATATCGCTTCATTATTTATACAAAATGGAAGTACAGCGTCACACACATAATCAGGAACATTGGGTTTATGAAAAACTGAACTCACGATATCATTCATTTCGGGGGAGGTGATGTCAATTTTTGAAAAAAGAAAATTAAACAAGTCTTTATCGAAATCAAACCTCGAAATAAATTCCTGCTTATCCTCTTCACCATCTTCATACAGATATCTTTTTAGATAAAAAATGGCATCAAATGTTTCACATCTGGATGAAAGATACTGAACTGTATCAAACAAATGACACTGACAAGCCGTTTTTAAGATAAAGTCAGTTTTTACTAATTCCAGGTCTTCAAATCTTTCTATCACCCATTTCAGTGGTTTATAAGATAAAAATGTTAATCCTACTAACCAGTCCGTCCTATAAAATGTCTTTAAAAGCAAGTTAACATCAAATGAAATCTTATTGTACATTGAAAGTAAGTATTCCAACACAGGTTCGTTAAATGCCTCATATGCTTTCCATATGCAAAACACAAGAAAAACACAACGGTGGTCATTATAACTATATCCAACGGTAAAGCTATAATTAGGTTCTAATTCTGGTATAGTAAGATTAATGCCTTGATCAAGTAAAACAGTTATTTTTTCTTCCTTTACTAAATTTAACGTTGCTTTTACACATCCAACATCTTTAGTTGAACATATCTCATATAAAGATGTGATCAATGCAGCTTTCATATCACTATTTGTGAAATAATTATTGCTTGTTTTGATTATTTGATTACATTTCTCTAAAATAAAGTTATACACCTTAAACTGCTCTTTTGTGTTGGCAATTGACACAAGAAAATTAGCAAGGAAAACGGACATGCTCTTCATATGTTCATCACAACTATCTAATTTACATAACATTGATTTCATGGAACATTCAAGTGATTTGAATAACTGATTGATACGTTCGTCTTTCTTCTTTTCAAAAGCTTCTAGTAAATAAGTTAATAGGAGATACGATTTTTGTTGGAATACTTCTGTATCAATTACTTCAGCTAGAAAACAATATACATTACTTAGCATGCTTGGTGAATTCCTCATTTTTGAAAAATATATATCCTTTAATCGATAAGCTAATAGTTTATAACTGTTAGGTGGAATTTTCAATATAACTTCTCCCTCTTTTTCTATGTATTCATCTGATTTTACCATTTTCAGGAAAAATGACCAGCTAAGTAACGGTATAATATTTTTAAAATGTTTCTCATCAATTTGAGCAAAAGATAAAATAACACTTTCCTGTAGTGTTGGATGGTGAAATATGTACGACCTTTCATTTGGCTTAGTTACTAAATAACTTCCTTTTAGTTCAGTTACTGCATCTGATATGTGGCATGTCTTCAGTTTGATGGTTTTTCCATAGATTGCCTCAATTATTTTTTCAATTGCATTCTTATGCCAGCTATCTTCAGGATTAATATAGTTTTCTTTTATTGATGTATACACCATAACTGCATACTGAATCATAAATTTCAAATGATCTTCGCCTTTGCGTCTTATTTTATTCATTTCTTCTAACATAGCTTCTGTTGGTCTGTCAAAAAATTTGATTCCAAGCTGAAAATATTTTGCATTATGAACAAATTGATAAATTGCTAATGGAAACACTTTGACTGGATTCTCTGAAACTATTTTACAGGCTTCATCTCTTCTAAGAATTGTAACACCATTATAGTTAATAAATCCAGTATCGTCTGCATACTCTGATTGTTTGACTGCTTTCATGTATTTTGTGAGAATAGCGTGTTTCTCTTTCTGGCTTAGCTCGTACTTGTCTGAACCTAAATCAATAAAATCAAACTTAAATAACCTATGATTATCAAACACCTCCCGACATTGACGTTTAACAGTATCTCTGATTGTTATAATGACTTTTATGTTACCTTTACACACATATGCATAAACCTTGTCTAGAATTGGTATATCTTTCTCTCTTTTATATATACAATTTGTTTCACCAAAAATATCGTCAAGTAAAACAACCACATTATCTTCTCTACTGACCATATCTTCCCACTCATCCAATGTATTTAGTTTGATACATTTGTATGATGTATCATCAGTACAATACATATGTAGAACATGGCGACCAATCCGACTTTTTCCCGTCCCTGCATATCCAGTTATCAACAAGACTCCATTTTGTTCAAGCAGTAATAAGCCATCTGTTATTGCTTTTGTAATAACAAAAGTATCCTCTCTTAAATCTTCCTCAATAAGGGTTCTAGTGTCATCTGAAAAAGTAATTTGATATCACAAAAAAAAAAGTTAGACTATCACATTCTCATATATCAAAGTGGAAACTATATGTAAGAGTAAACATAAAATATAGGCGAGTGACATTAACCATACAAATTTATTTTTAATGCACCCACTTAACATGCGGCTAAATTATATACCATATCATCTATACTATATTTTTAGCCCGGTCATCATATATTCGACCGATGCAATTTCCGTTAAATCAAAAGGTAAAAGACGTACAATGTAAGAATTTATGCACAGAATGTAATCCGAATGATAAAACAATGTTTGGAAACGAGAAAGCCTATAAAAACAGGGATTATCAGTCACTTTTTTCAAAAAAAATTCCGGTAGGCGATTCACATGTAAATCACCCAAGACCATTTAGATCTCAGGAAGTTTTTGACAAATCTGAACAACTCTTGTAGTTGCTCAAAATTCCGCCATCTGCAAAAATACTGCTTTGTTCTAAGTTAGTTACACGAGGGGTTGAACGGGTTCATACTTTAGGTGGGAATACAGGGATCAAAACTTTGATATATCAATATCTTGAACGCCTCAGTGGTCACCGGCTTGGTGCTCGCATTGAGTGCTGCAGGTCGTGGGGTCGATCGTTGGTCGGTTCAATCCAGACTTTAAAATCGGTAATTACTGCTTCTCCGCTAAACAAGTGACAATAAGGAGAGAGAGAAAAGACTTCGCTCGGATTCAGAATTATGGGTCAGGGTATGATGGCTTGTCTTCCGGCGTACTGGAACTCTGTGAACTAGCACGTTTAACATCCGGTTCAGAGTGTCCGTCTTGTACAAAGCAGGATTCATACTAATATCGCATAAAAGTACTACTTTTGCATCTAAAAAAGGGGCGAAAGATACCAGAGGGACATTCAAACTCATACCGAATTAGACTTGTTACAGGGTTTGTACTAACATGAGCAACACAATGGGTGCCACATGTGTAGCAGGATCTGCTTACTCTTCCGGAGCACCTCAAAATAATGAAACCATAAATCGAAAATAAACAGACAACGCCCGACATGGCCAAAAAAGAAAAAGACAAACAGACAAACAATAGTACACAAAACACAACATAGAAAACTAAAGATTAAGCAACACGAACCCCACCAAAAACTGGGGTGATCTCAGGTATTCCGGAAGAGTAAGCAGATCCTGCTACACATGTGGCACCCATTGTGTTGCTCATGTTAGTAGAAACCCTGTAACAAGTCTAATTCGGTTGGTCACATTCGTGAAAAGGGGACGGGATTGTAGTTACGACATTAGGAACATATCCGCTATCATCTGTGAAATGGATATTCTGTAACGGTCAACCAATGCAACCCGTGATGGCGTCCGTAAATTTTACGAAGGGATGATTTTAACTTTACCATTTGGAAGTCTTGATTTGATAGCTTCCTTGTGAACAGCAACACTCTATCAAGGAAATCATGATAGGAAATACAAGCCCGGGAATATCGTATCAATTGGGAGATATTTACTCAGTATGCAGGCGCTGCTGGAATGTTGCTACATAGAAATGGAAAATTCTCTCTTTTGTCGTAAAGTTTTGTTTTCAATCGACCCTCATTGGCAATTTCTAGATGTAAGTCAAGATATGAGGCAGACTTAACTGTTGTTTCCTTTATCTCAAGTTCGATGGGATAAATGCGTTCAACATAGTCACCAATTTTTTAATTATTTAGTGAGAGAACATCATCTATATAGAGGAAAGTAAAATTAAAGGATACTGCTAACTTCTTTTCTTTCTTCCTAAGAAGTTCTTGTATAAAGTCAGCCTCATAAGAATAAAGGAACAAGTCGGGAAGAAGAGGGGCACAGTTGATTCCCATGGGAATGCCGATAGTTTGTTGAAAAACACGTCCTCCAAACGTAACAAATATGTTGTCAACCAAGAATTGAAGCATCTTGATAATGTCAGTTTCAGAGAATTTTTTGTTTGAATCAGAGTGATTTTTTACAAAGTAGGATTTATCCCTCCCTTAGACAAGATACTTGTATCTACGTTGGCCATTCTTTTTTATGAAACAAAGCAATACCAACTCTTTCAATTTGTCGTTTAGTTTGGAATTGGGAATACTTGTGTAAAGTGTAGAAAAGTCAAATGTTTTAAATCATAATCAGCATCCCTCTTTTGATTTTCCTTATCTTCTGATTCATTATTTCGTTATAAACATTACAAGAAATAAAGACCTTTTATTCATATACATGATATAGTTCAACTATAAAATAATAGACACTGTAATGCTATATGTTCAAACTAAGAAACCATATAAAAAACTGTAATTCTTTAGAAACCGATTACTAACATTTAGCAGTTACGTTGAATAGTCTTTTTTTCATCTTGAGTTTCAAAAGATTCTAGCAATTCCGATACATAAAGTTGTAATTAAATTAATAAATTGAGTAAAACCCAGTAGTATAAAGACAAATATTACTGTGTAGGTCAAATCACAAAAACATTTAACCAATCAGCATCAAGAATAGGTCTACTTTCGTAAAAGTATTTTGATGTTGCTGTGTGTTTTATAAATACACATACCAACACATTTGCAGTCGAAATATGCATCTTTGGACATTTTGGGACCCAATTTACCTGGATAGACTTGCATTATAATGCTAGATGTGCTAAGAGTGTTAGCAGTAGATGACTTATTGATGGTCATCTGTCATCGACATCAAACATTGATTTTGCATAATTGTCATATTGAATGGTTACTAGTATATATTTTTGTACATTTACAATCAGGCTGTAAATGGTTACAATAAATTAAAATTAGACAGCTGTGGAAACCCATTTGTTTTTGAATTGGTTGTATGTCATATTAACGAAATTCTTTTCGAAAATATATTAGTTTGTGTTAACCCTCTCTACCTTTCTAGCAGCGATTAGAGAAGAATACATTTATTGTATTCGCGTTATTTCTATACTTAAAAAGGTGGTGATAAATAAATTGCTTGCCACAAGTTATTAGTTTGAAATATCATCTTTTTCCAAAAATCAGATTAAAAATGAATCCCCCTAAACTGTATAGAAAACATACGGAAAATAACACTTTTTTATATAAAAATGCATTGCGTCATAAAATTTGTACTTTTGATTTTATTACTACAATAAGTGATTCATATAAATTGTTGAAAAATGAGTTACAAATGGTATGTATAAATATGGGGACAATCGTAAAAAATATATGACTTAAAGAATCACTTGCAGGGCTGTTATTGTGATTTTGATTTGTTTATTATTGAACTATTAGATCTTGAAGTTGTTTATCAGTACTAAAATCATTTCAAGTGCAGTTTGAACATCTGAAACTTCACTCAAATGCAGTAATGTATCGATGGATATATTACTTGATAGAATAAAGACAGACAAGCGTAGGGACAAGATGATTTCTACATTTCCGCAAACACATAACTTGTTGAGATCATTAGATACTGAACTTAAAACACGCATATTTTTGTGTGTACTTTTATTACCCCTTTTTAAAGTATGGCATATTTATATCTTCTTGATAACCACTACATTCGATGTGTTTAACTTAACAAAGAAAATCACAATGATGCCTATTTGCAAATGGTAGTGGTTTGGACAACTGTAAAAAAATCAATGGAAGGCTGTTTCCAGAACAATGTTACATTAATTGCAGTTTAAATTGATGAATTTTGTTTTCTTTGGCTTTAAACAATAAAATCATTTTGTTTTGGCAATATAAATACTGGTATTGACCCCCCCCCCCCCCCCCCTCGTATTTTTACAAACTGCAATTTTCTGTAAATATTGCGCAATTTACCTTTTCAATTGCTTTTGGGCGCAGCTTTATACGACCACAGAGGTCGAACCCTGAACAGTTTGGGCAACCATGGACACTACATTCATAGGTTTCAGACACAGAATGAATGTGTTCAAAAAACTGAAAAAAATGAAATTTGAATTTTACCCATTATGGTCAAATATTCAAAATCTAAATACACGGTTAAATTCAGCATATCCAGGTACACCAATAATTCATTTCATTTATTAATGGACAATATTAGCTAGGTTTTAAAAGAGGTTCCCTTCATCCCCAAAACCATATAGATATAACATTCTGAAAATTAATTTATACAGAATAACAAACAAACTTTCCATGAAGTTCTTCAAACAAATTACAAAATAATGTGTACATAAATTCTTCTTTTAAATTTCATATAATGTGTACATAAATTCTTCTTTTAAATTAGACTTGTTGCTGTATCGATTGTTAACTATATCACAATTTACAATTTCTATTATTTGAGCAATACAGCTCTGAATTTCAATTTTGATTAAATATTTGACATAACATAACTTCTGACACAGAATGAGTGTTGTCTATAATTAAATATTTGAAATTGGACATTTAATCTATTATGGTCCAATATCCAAAAACAAGTTACGTGGTTGGAATCAGCATATCAAAGAACCCTAAGAATTCAGTTTTTAACGAAATCGAACAAAGTTTTATTTTGGACCCTTTGCACATTGATGTGGACCAATTTGATAGCGGGGCCAAAAAATCTAAAATCTCTAAATACACGGTAAGTTCGGTATATCAAGATACCAAATATATTCATTTTATGTTGAAATCAAACAAAAACGGGATCCAAAATCTAAACACACTGTTAGATACAGGATATTAAAAATCTCCAAGAGGTCAAGACTTTGAATTAAAAATCAATGAAATTTGTCAAGAAATAAGCAATTGATACAAAGTATTAGAAGGTATTGTTTGTGGCCCCTTTTTTCTAAACAGTGAGAGCCATTATCCCATAAATCAATCCCAACCATCCTTTTTAGGTATAGAACATTGTTGTATCATTTTATAGAGATCAATACCATTATACCCTTATTGTCCTGAAACAAGAAAAATGATTGTCTCTGGTCCATTTTTGGCCCCTAATTCAAAAATGGTAACGACAATAGATCCTTTTGTGGTATGGAACCTTGTGGTAAAATTTCGTAGAGATGCGTAGACTTATTCTCAAGTTATTGTCTGGGAACCAAATGTCTTCGGACGACGACGCTGACAAAGTTATTACATTATACGACCGCAAATATTATGCGGTCATATACAAACCAGGAAAGTCATTTTGCTTAATTTTTTTCAAAATTGATCTCGATTTAACGGAAATTGCATCGTAGGAGTTATCGACATGGTCAAATAAAAAGTACATATAATAAGCTTTCGATTGATACATAATAAAGCCGTTTGGTTGGTTGGTGCATTAAAGTCGTTTCTTAGAGGCCTTTCGAAATGTCACTCGCCTGTAAGTCAGGAATTTAGAAACACAAGTTAAACAAAATACATAAATAGAGTCATGGTTAGGCCTTCACCAATATACAAGTACCATATAACAACGTTTTCTATACAGGTCGTGAATATGTGAGTAGCAGACACTATCAATTGTTTCATAAAAAATAAATTCGCAATGAAAATAAAATCACACATATTGGGAATAAAACACCTGATGCAGATTCTTAATATTGACGACCTTTTCCTTTTTCTCAGATTTGAATCCTTTTCTATATTGCTCTAAAGACGTCACAAATCTGTCCCTTCTCTTTTCAAATTCCGGACGAAAAAATGTTAATGTAATATGAATATTATTCCTGCTTTGTACTAGACCGACACGCTGAGTCGAATTTTTCATGGGCTAGTTCACAAGGTAACAATCCGCAGGACGACATGTAACCTTTCCGATCAGACCAGTCTTTGCTCTTACTCCTCAGTGCCCCGTTCTTCGCGGAGAAGCAGCAACTACCAATTTAAGTCTTTGGTTCGACCCGGCCGGGGTTCGAACTCAAGATCCCCCGCCTTCAAGGCGAACAACATACCATGAGACCACAGAGGCGTTTCAAAGAGTGACCATGCAAAAATTAGAACTTGATCAAAAGAATAAAACTCTCCACACTGATAAAGCAAAAGATAAGTCAAGAGTCGTATTCGTATTCGTAATGCTGTATGAACACAAATGGTTGTAATTAGGTTTGCAGCAAGCAAACTGGAGCATATGTGTAATTTACATGTTACGTCGGCATTCTTTGATAAAATATTTTTGTGACGTTTTTGAATTTCCGATCCAAATATATTTTTTTCATTAGGATAACTGTTCTTAGAACATAATGATTTTATTCTCGTCGAATTGGTTCGTTACTTGGGTATTGAAACTAGACCGATAACTTCAGTATTTTCAAAATATGTTATATAGATACAATGGATAAGCGTGGATTCTTGAAAAAGAAACCATGAGCCCGGAGGGCGAATGGTTTGTTTTTCATGAATCTACGTTTATCCATTGTATCTATAACTTAAACTATTGTGTTAATTTCTTTTCAAAATTAAAGCCTTTTCTTAATTAGGAGGTATTGTAAGTGAGTTTAAATAACCATGTTATCGTGTCTAACGATGCATTGATAAATCTCAGATCACAATTAATTGGTTAACAAAATACAAATATAACACTTCTACCTTTAAAGATCTTTATATTATCTGTTTTTACAAAATAAGACATATTCGAACTTATTTCTATTAAAATTGAGAATGGAAATGGGGAATGTGTCAAAAAGACAACAACCCGACCAAAGAGCATATATAAAGTATATATAATAAGTATGTTACCGAAATTTCTAGCACTCTAGGCACATCACGATTTTTTCTTGACAAATAGAATGTAATCATTTTTGTTTCAAACATGTGAAAAAGCCAATAATAATCCAAAAAATAAACGGTAAAACTCGCTATTATTAAAACAAAATGTCCACTATAACATGCAAAATTAGAAAAAAAACAGAATTGGGACAACAGAGATAATACAGGGATTCGAACCTAAACCGACAAATCCCTATCTTTTAACTCGTTGATTTTAAGCATGTTAACCTCGCGGCTACCAACTTATACTATACGACTGCCCATTGTGTATATATAAAGGTACAACCCCTGTGTGATCGATGTTCATTTATATATATATAATAGACATCTAAGTTGTAACCCATTGGTAGCCGAGAGGTTTCGTCGATGTGTTGATGTCAGTCATTCATAACAGATTTCAATGAAGGGTTCGATTCCCAGTGAAGGCATATACAAATTACAAAAATTAAAGGTAAGTTTTTAAATTAATTCCATTAGTGAACAGAAATCAGTAAATTAGCCAATTCAAACTTAATGAAATTAGACGCTCAAAGGAAACAATTGAATATAATTTGGTGAGTCCATTTCAGTGGCAGATTTAGGAAGCGTTGATTCTAGAAAAAGAATCCACGGTAAATGAATAGGCTGACGTCACCACAATGGTTTAATGTAAAATAATGAACTATTAACATACGAGTGACAGATTTGAATCATAATTTTTAATAACTTAAAAAAAAAATAGTTACCATAAAGTCTTTTACGTTTTCTTTCTGCTGAAAATATTTGAAAAAGCGTAAGATTACTTATATGCAAACTACATAGTTTAATCATATGATAATGTTCATTTCAAAGATACCAGATTTGATTTTCATTTAAATCTACAAACAAAACAGAAACATTGACTGTGGACTTACATGTATCTAAAGCTTAAGAATAAAGACAAAAGTATAACAATAACATTTACACAAGATTTTTCTTTTTGTATTAATATGTCAGAGTCAATCCTGAATCGTTTTTACAGTTTAAAGTGGTTTACTTAAATAGAATTGTGTCCACTGTTCGGGTTTTCTTGATACATCGTGATTACAATTGCTTACAAAATAACATGAACAATTTAGAGAGAAGGATTTGCTCATACTAGTCTCAGATTGATAACTGTTCTTAACAATAATTTGTGTACAGCAAAGAGAGCAGGGTGTGTTTATCCTGGACACAGTATAGTAAATGTTCGTAACTTGTACAGCAAAAGAGGACTTGCTTATCTTTTGACACAGCATGATAATTGTTCTTAACAATATAATGGGTACACACAGAGAGTAGGACGTGCTTATCCTTGACACAGCATGATAATTGTTCTTAATAAAAAAAGGTTCACAGAGAGAAGCAGGATGCGCTTATCAGTGTTATTGCAAGATAATTCTATTTTTTTACAATATCATTGTTATTGAATAGAAAGCATATTGTTCTTATCCTTAAAACAGTGTGCCAACTCTGAAACTAATTGATTACGGCTCCCTTCTAACAGTATAATGACTACAGCGTTCACAGAAGGATGTGATTTTCATTGATATAAAAAGAAGATGTGGTATGATTGCCAATGAGACAACTCTTCACAAGAGACAAAATGACACATAAATTAACAACTATAGGTCACCGTATGGCCTTCAAACTTGAGTAAAACCCATACTACATAGTCAGCTATAAAAAGCCCCGAAATGACAAATGTAAAACAATTCGAACGAGAAAACGAACGGCTTAATTTGTGTACAAAAAAACTAACGTAAAACAAATATGTACCACAGCTATGACACCACATGATCGTTGATATTAACTAGATATGTCATCAAAGCGGGACTGATACATGTATTTAATAGCAATTCTCTGTAACCACCAACCAAGACGCGGCACGCATAGTCTCAGATTTTCTTGAAATTTTGTTTGTTGGTAGCTATTGATAAACAAACAAAAAATATGTTGACAAAAATTGTCTGTATGTCCCCGTTGCCATGGTAACAGGTCCCCTTGGATTTTGCCTCAAAAATGCATAATTTGACAAACAAAAATGACCCATTTTAAGCAGTTATCATGCACACATTTCAATTTTGATGAATATTTTGACATTTGTTTATTAAAATATAACACTTAATAAGTAGGATGAAAGATAAAAATTAATTCTGATAAAAAGGGAAAAAGGGGCCAGCACTGATTTAAATAACGGAGTTTTCGTTGTATTCCAGAAGGCAAATTATAGGCATTTTGCTTGACATAATTTCACACTTTTGCATCCGCAACTAATTATATTGAGGTAAAAATGTAAACTATCACTATTGCCTAGGAGTAATTTATAACTAAAGGTTTGGGAAATAGGTTGCTAGGGTGGTTGCTATGGGAACGTAAAAGTGTCATTTTTGTTATTTTGTAAAAGAATTTTGATCTTGTTATTAAAATAGCTCAAAAACAGTGACAGATACAGGATGAAAATCACTTGAGACATGTTGTGCATTCAATGACATTAAAGTTGACCCAAAGGTCAAAAATTATTGATGACCTTGACCTTTGACCTTCAGTCTTTTTTTATTAAATTTTGTAAAGAAATTGTAATAAGTAAATTCATACAGTATATAGAAAAGGTGTTCAGAATGATTAGTGAAATTGAGAATGGAAATGGGGAATATGTCAATGAGACAACAACCCGACCAAAGAGCAGACAACACCCGAAGGCCACAAATGGGTCTTCAACGCAGCGAGAAAATCCCGCACCGGGAGGTGGTTCTCAGCTGGCCCCTAAATGAAATTATGTACTGGTTTAGTGAAAATGGACGTCACAGTAAACTCCAAAATATATAAAGGAACTAAAATTTAAAAAACATACAAGACTAACAAAGGCCAGAGGCTCCTGACTTGGGACAGGCGCAAAAATGCGAGATCTCAACCCTCCCCCTATACATTTTGTACCTCTAGCCAATTTAGAATAAACACACACATAGCAATACGCACAGTAAAACTCAGTTTAAAAGAAGTCCGAGTCCGATGTCGGAATAGGTAACAAAAGAAACTAAGCAAAATGACAATGATACATAAATTAACAAAGGACTACTAGCAGTTACTGACATGCCAGCTCCAGACCTCAATTAAACTAATTGAAAGATTATGTCTTCATCATATGAGAATTAGGTACAATCCCTCCCGTTAGAGGTTTAGTATCATACCATCATAAAATACATGAGAAGAACATAACCCGTATCATGCCAACAACTGGTTTTAGAATAAATGTGTTTATTTCCGATGCAAAGACCCTATGAGTGAGACCTGACAACAGTATCATAACTATATCCATTCCGAATAAGTCTGTTTAAAGGTTTGGTTAGCTTTTGAGGTGAATGCCGACATTTTTATGCTTTGTAAAGAATATTACCATAAAATATTGGATGTGAAATACCTGAACGTATACGATGTATAAGATTGCTTTTATTTGGTAATAAAACAAAATGCCGGAGGTCAAGGTCATGTCATAAGTTCTTAGCAACGACCCTTACTTGATATAAAAGTACCTAGCAGCCATACATATTTGGGTTCAGATTAATATGAACTATGATATAGATCCTAATTGAAAGATAAGGGGTCAGTATTGTCAACATTGACTTTAGCAGCCATTCTCGTATAGTTAGAAAATGCCTAGCAACCATCACTGTTTTGGTGCCTTGGGTCAAAATTCCGAAATTTTGAAACTGAACTTGTAATTCTCATTCCAATTAAACTTTCGAATTCCTTTTAAGAACAGAAATTGTGTTTCTTAAATAATTCACATACATGATTTTATTCATGTGAATTTCAGTTAATCACCAGCCACTTTGTCTCTTGTTCTGACTTGAAATACAAATGCTGTTTTTTCCAGGCATATATACATGTATATATAAAGTAGTTAGAGCAAGATAGGAATGTTATGGTCAGTAGGTATTGATCAATCGTAAATTTTCAGAACAACTGGACAACATTAAATGTCAGCTTTAAGCAAATTTCGCAGTTATTTTACTTCATAATGTTTTAGATAAAAAGTTACAAAAAACTTTGAAGACTTTAAAAGACGATTTTAACGCATTTTCTTCTTTTTTTGCGAGTCTAGCCTACAGGGCAAATTGAGTTATTCATCACTTATCGTCCGTCTTCGTTGTCTGTAAACTTTTGCAAAAGTCTTGTCCTTTGAAATAACTGGGCAAATTGCAACCAAAACATATCATTCTTTTTTCTTTTCCTGTCTTTTTCTTTCCTCTTCTCTCTATCTTGAAAATTTAATAATCAAAGTTATCTTAAATTATTAATGGGAAGATTATAAGAATTGTGTGTATAATTTCAATCATATTTTATAATTCCATAGCAGTGGTGGTGGACAACAAAAACTTGCTATAGCACTGTTGCATATTTGTTTGTTACATTACTGCAGATTTTTAAGAATGATAAGCAATTTTTCAGTGAATTAAGTTAGTTAAATAGAGCTATGTCAGTGGGTCACTAAATTTGCATAATAACTTCTTTTTGATTGCAACTTAATGGTTATATCTTTTTAAAACAGAAGAATTTACCTAATAAAAAAAATAATTATTGTAGTTTCTCAGTAGACCTGGGATCAATGGTTAAAGAGACTTGAAACTTAAAGTCCCTTTTTCATGTCCCAAAATCAACCTGCGAATGGTTGTTTTGTGTGCATGTCTGTAACTCTGTGTTCAAACATTGCTAAGTATACATTATTGATTTTGATTAAAACAATAATATATGACATTGAAGATGCATGGATGACAAAGGGTAATTTTCACATCAATAAACTTAATATGATGTTTTTATTCTTTTGTCCGATTAAGATGGAGACTTTTAATTTTGAGGCAAATTCTTATTTATTTCATTGAAAAAATATTTTATCTCATAGTATTCAAATATACTAATACCTTCTCTGATAAATGTAACCTATTAAAATTATGGATTAATTACAGATAATTGTTGCACAGATTTTGCAAGAAAAACAGACACCACTTGGATTCTTTACTCATACAGATTTTCATTTTTGTCTTTTCTCACAAAATACATTACGTTTTAATCCTCACTTTATCATCTTTCAAACAAGATTTACAGATCATTTGTTTAATGCCCTACCGAATTAGACTTCTTACCTTTATTTGTGACATTTTTACCTATTGTGTCTGTTTGTTTTGTTCACGCATAATTATCAATATTATTAAATTTGATGCGACTGTCGTACAAGTGAGAGGTTTAGCGCTATAAAACCAGGTTCAATCCACCATTTTCTACATTTGAAAATGCCTGTACCAAGTCAGGAATATGACAGTTGTTGTCCATTCGTTATGTGTGTTTTGTCATTTGATTTTGCCATGTGATTAGGGACTTTCCGATTGAATTTACCTCGGAGTTCAGTATTTTTGTGATTTTACTTTTTGTGTATTGAGTGGTCTGCCATGTTATCTATAAACTCAAGTTATGTCATTTTGTCAATTATGATTGGCATTAAGGAAGAGGAGTCTATATAGAATTCCAATTATTGTCCCACCCTTTGTGTTTAATTGTTCCTTGATCATGAAAATTGTCAATCATACTGTTAATGTATCAATACACTTAAGTAAAAAGACAAAACTAAGCCAGTAATTAAAAAAAGTAATGACTATTATTTTTGAAGAAATACTCTAAATTAAGATGTAACAACATTTCTTTCCAGTTCACTTGTGCAAATGTACACAGACATGAAAACAATTGGGAACTATATGTCAGAGTGTACAGATTTATTAGCTAATCTGTCCACTTTCTGTTTGGATGCCGGTGCCTTAAGAAAGAATTGGAACAAGTTCCAATCTTTCCAAAAATGATTATATCCAAAGAATTATTTTATGATTATATATTAATTGGTCTAAAGCTGTTACAATTACCTTATTGCTACAGCTTTCACAATCAAGGTACTCTGATATATTAATGTCTTTAAAAACAGGGTGTCTTAAAGATAAGTTTTACTTTATAATTGTTAGTTAATGACACACCTTAATACAAACATATATAATGCAATCATCTCAATTGGTATCTACATATTTTTTGTTCCGGATTTGACCTTTACTTTGTCATCCTTATACAATCTACCAGACACATATTTTACTCGTTTAGAAATAAAGATACAGAACATTTGAAGGGACATAAATACACTGTAATATGAAATAAATGAGGATGATGCCCCTGTTTGCATATCATATAAAGTTATAAAGGGACATAACTGAAGAACGGTAAACATGACGTTACCCAAATTTGTACTTGATCTGAGTTTTGTGGTAATAGGTATTGTGTATACGTTTCATAACATTTGGTTGAGGCAAACCTAAGTTAGAGAACGGAAACGAAAAATTCAGCAATTTTTCCATTTGTAAAGGGGCATAACTCTAAAACCGTTTAAATGACGCCACCAAAATTCAAGCTTGATCTGTATTTTGTTGTAATAAGCATTGTGTATAAGTTTGATAACATTTGGACGAGTTGCAAAACGAACGCTAAATCGACGCTACGAAGTATATACGTGCAAAGACGGAAAAACTTTGATACATTTAACCGGAAATCAAAACGTAGGTATCAAATAGAACAGCAAAACCAGTTACATTATCTCGAGGGACATAATACGAAAGATTTCTGGAAATCTATAGGGAAGCTAGGACTAGCAAATGAACGTAAAACGCAACGTATATATCAGGTGCGAACGGAAAACGATGAAGTTACAAATGACACCGATACCGTGCTCGAAAGGTGGAAAACAGAATATGAATCGGCATTCAATAGCGTCGACTCATGTAATAACTATGATGATACTTTTCTAGCAGATATCAAAAACAGAGTGCAGAATGAAAACAACTACAGAAACGATATCGATGTTAGTGACTTAAACCGTGAAATTAGTAGAGAAGAAGTTAAGGATGCAGTGTATAAAGCGAAGCTAGGTAAAGCCATTGGTATAGACGAAATACCCAGTGAAATATTACGGAATGATAATTGCATTGACTTGTTACATAAACTTGTTAAATTCTGTTTTACCGAAGGACAAGTGCCGGAAGAATGGCTCACAAGTATAATTACTCCAATTCCGAAACCCAAAATGGATCCGTTGAACCCGTTAGAATACCGTCCCATTTCAATTATATCCATACCATGTAAAATATATGCAGATATATTAAATAAAAGACTTAATTTTTGGCTCGAACAAAATGACATTTTAGCGGAAGAACAAAATGGTTTCCGAAAAAACAGAAGTTGTTTAGATCATCTGTATGTGTTACAATCTATTATAAAGAACAGAAAACTTAAAAAGAAAGACACATTTGTTTGTTTCATAGATGCAAAGAGGGCATTTGACAATGTAAACCGTGATATGTTGTGGCATAAATTAATGAGTATAGGCATAAATGGGTTATTTCTAAAGGCTATACAATCCTTATATGATGCTACTAAAAGCGCAGTGAAGCTAGTACATTATTTGACTGATATTTTTCCAGTTAATTTTGGTGTAAAACAAAGCTGTAAAATGTCGCCTTCATTATTTTCTATTTATGTGAATGACCTAGCTGAAGACATACGTGCTCTAAATGCTGGTGTTGACATTGATGATTTGAATGTTTCAATTTTGCTATATGCTGATGATATTGCACTTATCGCACCAGACGAAAAGAGTCTTCAAAGTATGTTAAACTGTATTCATTCTTGGTGTATGAAATGGAGAATGACTTTAAATGAGACCAAGACCAAAATTATACATTTTCGTAACAAAAAGGCTCCGAGATCAGACTTTAATTTTAAATGTGGTGATATGCCTATTAGCTTTGACAATGCGTACAGATATTTAGGATTACATATAAACGAATTCATGGAACACAAATATACGATCCGAGAGATAACAAAATCTGCAAGCCGGGCGCTTTCTGCAGTATACACTAAATTTTTATCATGTGGAGGGATGTCATTTGATGTTTATACAAAACTTTATAAAACTCTTATTGAACCCGTGCTATTACATGGAGCCGGATTATGGGGACACAACAACTGGAGAGAAGTTCAAACAATTCAGAACAAGGCATGCAGACTCTTTATGGGAAGTTCATCAAATGCTTCGAATATAGCGGTTTTAGGTGATATGGGTTATAAAACAACAAAATCAGCCGAACTTTTAGAAACGTACCGTCTATTTTTGAGAGTGCGATATACGTTTGACTATAGAATAACACACAAGGTCCATATGTGGGGTATGAATATTTCTCGATCGTGGGACAAGAAATGTTATGAAATAGCACATAAACTTGGAATACATGATATTATTGATAGTCAATATTCCAACAGACATAAAATTTATGATATTAAAACAAAATTGTGTGGAATTGAAAAACAAGAATGGGTTGAAAAATTGTATCAAGATAGAAATGAACCAAATGGTAACAAGTTACGTACCTATAGACTGTATAAAAATGAATTAGAAACAAGTTCATATATAAAAAATGTAAATGATAGACAACATAGACGTATTTTATCTAATTTTAGAAGTGGGTGTCTACCTTTAGCAATAGAAACAGGTCGTTACACCAAGCCAAACACTCTTCTTAATGACCGAAAATGTAAATATTGTACAGTTGATTGTGTAGAAGACGAGAAACATTTTTTAATGCATTGTGAATTTTATTCAGATCTGCGATATGGTCTATTTTTGAAAGCAAGTGCAATTAACCCAAATTTTAATGATTTTAATCATGATGACAAATTTATTTTTCTGATGTCACATGACTGTATACAACCCTTTTTAGCAAAATCTTTATATTTTATGTTTAATCGCAGAAAAAATTGTGTATAATATGTTCTTTTATTGTAAAAGTTTTATTTATTCATTTTTAATGAATGTAAAAATAAGTCTTTAAGCGAAAGTGTCTCATAAGTCAGTTGTGGCTGGATACCGATATTTTAACTTCGATTGAAATTTTTATTTGTATTTCTATACTTATATTATGATGTATGATATTGTTCTGTATTGGTATGTGACACTATAATAAAATATTCTGTCTGTCTGTCTGTCTGTATTTTGTGGTAATAAGTATTGTGTATAAGTTTGATAACATTTGGTTGAGGCAAACTAAAGTTAAAGAACGGAAACGAAAAATTCAGCAATTTTTCCATTTGTAAAGGGGCATAACTCTATAACCGTTTAAATGACGCCACCAAAATTCAAACTCGATCTGTATTTTGTAAACATAAGCATTGTGTATAAGTTTCATAACATTTGGTTGAGTCAAACTAAAGTTAGAGAACGGAAACCAACTTTGGGACGTACGGACGTACAGACTGACAACGGTAAAACTCAATGCCCCCTCCGCTACGTCGGGGGCATAAAAAAACACGTCAGAATAATAATTTGATTTTTGCTTGAAATATTATTCTAATTTTTTTGTGTCAATTTTACGCAAAAATACCAGTTGAATCATAATACAGTTTTATTGGGGCCTCTTGTTTTACTTTTTTGGTCTTAATCTTGAAACTTCAATAAATGGATAGAAAGTAATACAGCAAATCATAGTTATTTCTAATTATTATGAATAAACGGATAATTTAATAGCAAAAAATACCAACAAGACTAATTAATCAACCTAGCAGAAATATTCTTTTGACTCCATAAAGGCGTTTTGCCCTTCAATGACTTCTAAGGGAGACGAATATTTATTGCATTAGAAAAAAAAATGCACAATCAAAATTCTGCTAAAAATTTGAGAATAACAGATTTCAATTCACCATAGCCAAACTTTAACGAGAAGCAGAAAAGACATGCAATAGCCAAATAAAGAAAATGACCCAACACTAATGTCACATATAACCAATGGGTATATTAGTCAGTGCAATACAGATATTATTTTAATGGGTACGTAAATGTCAAAGTAATACTTAAGTAAATCAAGGCCTTTTTTATCGCATTTTTTTTTCTAATGCAATAAATATTATATATACAACAACAACAAAAAACTGAATCGTTAAACCATTCTTACCTTGGGAATCATCAGTATCATATGATTTCTTCTTCATATCATCAATGTCTTTTACACATGTTGCCATCCTTTCATCTTGCTTTGCAATCTGTTCAGCTTGCTCTGCCATCTGTTCAGCTTGCTCTGCCATCTGTTCATCTTGCTTTGTCATCTGTTCAGCTTGCTCTGCCATCTGTTCATCTTGCTTTGTCATCTGTTCATCTTGCTTTGTCAACTGTCCATCGAGTTTTTCCATCTGTCCATCCTGTTTTGTTAACCGTTCATCAATTTCCTTAAATTTGATGTCATATTTGCATTCTAAACTTAATAACTGCAGTGTCAAGTCATCTAGACTTTCTTGTGTGTCGATATCTTTTTCTTGATTCGCTTTTTAAGTAAATTCCAGTTTCTCAATCTTTTTCCTACAGGCTTCTATCTTCTCTGTATATATCTCTACTGATCCTTGGATATCACAAAACTCAGAAGCAAGTTTTTGTGCACCAACTTTTCCTCTCTGAAGAGATTCGTTAAGTTGCTGAATTTTAATTTCATGCTTTTTTCTAATAGTCGTTTCGTTGTCAATTACTGATTGGAGATTATTGATCATGCCAGTGTGCCCCTCTTGTGACATCTGATGGTTGTGAAGCAAGTTTAGAATATCTATAAGTGATTTGTCCAAGACAATGAGTTGTGCAGACTGTGCTTCCCTCAATAGTGATGGTCCACCTAGACGTCTAATGGCCTATATATAAACATTATAAATTGATATGAAGTATTTTAAGTCAGTTTGCAAACCGACAAAAAAAATTTAAACACTAATGGTAATTTTTGACTTGTAAATTGCATAGAAGACAAATAATTGGAATTGCTCAATATGGTTCTTATATTTGTGGACTTTGTCATGTTTGTGGAAATACATGTGTACAGATATAAGTGTCAATTGTTACAAAACATTAAATTTCCTACAGACGGACAAGTAGACATGCAGATATACAGACAAGACAGAGTGATTCCTAGATCCCCCTACCCCAACCCCTAATATAAAACAACTTTATTTACTGTCTACATGCTCATAATTAACAAGCATTCTGAGAGTATTGCATGGCAATACATAGGCCCCTACCGGTTAAAAATTCATTGTAATGGAAAAAAATGCTAACTTGATCTATAGCTTGTCATGGTGTAACCTACTAGTATATAAGAATAATCAAGTCAATATCTTCAAGCATGAAGGAAAAAGTGAGGAAAACTGACTATTTGAGTGAATTTAACGACCAAGGACCATAACTCTGCACAAAATCATCAGACCGGAAAAAAATTCTAACTTGATCTGTAACTTGTCATGATTAAACTATATACCAATTATCAAATCAATATCTTCAAGCATTTCGAAAAAAAGTGCAGAAAACTGATTATTTGAGTGAATTTTCTAAGTCCAAGGATATGGTCCTTGGACTATTAAAATTCACTCAAATAATCAGTTTTCTGATTAAAATGTTCTGCACAAAATGTTCAGACCGAAACAAAATTCAAACATTATCTGTAACTTGTCATGATAAAACAATACAACAAATATCAAATCAATATCTTCAAGCACGAAGAAAAAAGTGAGGAAAACTGATATGCCGGACTGACAGATGGACAGACAGACAGACAGACTGAAGGAGTGCAAACCTGAAGTCCCCTTCAACTTCCTCGGCAGGGGACTTATTATGATCTGTATATACATACACATTCTAAATCTTCCCAATACTGACTGAAATCTGTAGTGGACAATTTCCCATCTCCATGATGAGCCAACTTGTTTCTGTACCATTTTACTCGGGCAAGGTCTTCACCAGAACTTGTATCACCTGACTGTGGTAAGATATCCCAACCTGTCACAGGGGCACTTTCACGTGGTATCATGTTCCGTAAAAGGTAAACTATCAGAGTGGTATCAAAGTCTTCTGATCTAACATTACTTGCTGTAACATATATTATGTCAACACATTTCTAAATTAGTATAATAAGGGTATAATGTTTTTGACCCATCCGTCCGTCAGTTCATGAACAATTTAAACGTGTTTTACAGATGTATAATATTTTGTCAAAAAACTTTTTAGAGAAAAAACTATAGTCAGTATATGATTTGTCTTAAAGGTCAATTAATCACTAAAGGTTTTGAAAGAGTCCAGTTCAATCTGGTCCTCAAATTAATAAAATCAAATTTGTGTATCTTAAAATTAACTTTCAAGTTATATCTAGAATAGTATAAAAGTTTTACAATTCATTACATCAAATGATATGCCCCCATTCATATCAATAACTTGATTTTTTTATTATACCTTTGACTGATGTATTAATCTTTGTTTGCCTAAAATCCAGTGAAAAATATTGCATGCATGTCATGGCGGTGTGTCCATATATCCTTGCCATTTTCGTGCTTTTTTTTTGTCTTTGTCTCAAGAACCTTCACATATAGACACATATTGTTGTCTTCTTATTGTCTTTTGGTTAATTTTGTTATTGAGGAGCTGTCTCACTGATATTTACCCCAAATGTCCTTTTATTTTTATAAATAATTGAGTTAATCAATACAAAAAAAAAACAAACAGAATTCAAACTTACCAGAACTTGGATATAGTGTCTGCAATTGTATTGTTGTTATAAATCGATGCCTTTTCAAGGTTGCTGAAATGTTTGCAAGTTCATTGGCAAGTCCAGCTGGTGGATGGACAGAATCAAAATATACCCTAACAGCCTTTGATGCAACCTTCAAATTCAGGTAGTAAAATCTTAGGAAGTTTGACTCTTCTACTGACAGACTCATGGTGATTCCTCAAGTAGATATATTTTCTTAACTTTTATCTTTGATCTATGTTCACTGGTCTCTGTTACTGGCTACACAGCTGTCATCTACAAGCACTGTAGCTACACTGATGTCAAATGTCAAGCTAAATCATGTCTATCTGAAATAAATCTGCAATAAAAATGAAAACAGTATTAAATACTAGTCCATATAATGATCATGCAAAATGTGATGCATGGGTGGAAAGCCTACAATTTTTTTTTTTTATATCTTATTAAGGATATAAAGGACGTTCAAATTCATATATAAATTTTTATGTTGACCCTTACCAGGTACTATATAATTTCTATGGAATGCATTATAAAACTTTTATGGAGAGAGATAACTCAAATAATATCCTCTTGAATCAATTTAAAAATGTATGACCATCATCGGTCCTTGTAAGGCAATTATTTGTAAATACATTACTGATTCATTTCGTCTACGCCCATATGTAACTGACTGAAAATAAAAAAGTCTGTAGCCTTTTCTCACTTCGATATTTACAAATTTTCTCCTTATTTTAAGGTTTCTGCTAAACATGCATAAATGTAGAAAAAAAAACATCTTTCAGTGGCAATAATTCCTATATTGGTTAATTTAAAGTTTCGGTCACGCTGATTGGAAAATAAATGAATCCACAGTAAGTGCTGAAAATTTGATTTTTCAGGAGCATAATTCAATGTAGACAAACGCGGTTAGCAATTGGGTTAAATAAAGGGATCATTACAGAATAAAACAAAAGACATAAATGACAAAATAAGAGGCTCTAAGAGTCTGAATTCCACAACTGGTTAAAATATGTCATTTTGATAAGTGCATCTACCTTTAAATCAATGATTTATGTTTGCATATTTCATTTTGTATTCGTAAATGTTATTGTGATATTTTCGAAGATCTTGCATTTAGGATATTTATTACTGTTACACATATATATTTAAGTTTTTGAGATAATTTGCAATTTTATAAAAATTAATAAAAATTAGTCATATTAAGGCAATACACACCATAAGGAATCTGAAAACTTGGCCATGTTGACATATTTATATATTCTATTCTGCTTTTTAAAGTTTCTCTCTGTCTACTATAGTGTTTTGACAATAATACAAATAGGGCGAAAATCATCATTCAGGGGAATAACTCCTATAAGGAGTTGGTAGACAATTGCTATCATGTTGACTTATTTGTCGACCTTATTTTACTAAATAGTTTTGTTATTTACAGTTTCTCTTTCTATTATAGTTTCTGCAAAACCCCGCAAAAATCGGTAAAAACCGTCTATAGGTTGCACTTCTGTAAATATAGACAATGCAATTTCCCATAGGAACTCCCTTTCCAGCTAAAGCTGTGCCACTTTTACTATGAAGTTTCGTGAAAAATTATATCCTAGAACGGAAAGTTGATATGCACTACTTTTTATTCAAAGGTCAAAACATAGGGCTGTGCGGCATATTTTCAACATTCAAATCCCCGAACTTCTAAGAGTTTAAACTTATACTAAAATTTGTACAACCCCTACCTTCACTTTGAGGGTCCCTCAGAATTCAATTTTCGCCGCTACCATGTGTTTTTATACTGGTAACATTCCCAAGTTATTTCTCTATGAGATAAAACATAGATATCATATCTGGGAACCAGTACGTAAACAAAACAGAATATCTATGAATATTAAATATCTCGCCAAAAGAGCGTGGCTTATTAAACAGCTGTATTTACAAAGTGCATCCTATACTGACATTTATTCAAAAAGAAAACTCTTGAAAAACACTTTTTCTCACAACAATACTTATTCATCAGAAGTATAGCCTTAAAGAAATCACTGCAAATACTGTAACTTTCTTTTACACTACATTTTATACCCCAAACCCTGTTTCAATTTTTAAAGAATTTGAAAACAAGACTTACATTATTGTCAGCTCACCCTATGTGCATGTTTGCTGACATGAAATGGCTAGAACCTGTTTGAAACTATTCTGATAACAAATTGAAAGCATTTCAGAATACTATAGATGAAAAGTTTAGTGGTTAATCATTCCAACATTCAAGATTATATAAAGTATCCAATCCTGCCTCTGTCTCTAGTCCACATCTTACTGTATGCCTATTTGTCAATAAAAATTCACAATTTCTGCCTCAAATGGTCAGTTTAGAAATCTTGTCACAACAATATCATCTCGAACCATATATCTAGCATAATTCAGCTAATATATGATCTAGTAGTGCTAAACAAGGCCTTATTTGCAAAAATTGTATGTACTAAGTTACCAGTCTGATCTATAAATTAACTAAAAGTTTTATAGAACTTACTGCTAACATCTGTTCTTTGCACAACTTCCAAGCACATTCATTGTTTTTTATACAAAAGACCTTTAAAATAATAAAATCATAGCATTTACAGTTTAAATTATCTGTTTTATGACCCAGGGGGTAGACATTTTTCTCTGTCTTTTGCCATTGGGGCCTCAAATTTGCTAACCTTTTCTGCTGTTTCTGTGAATATGGAAAATTCAGTACATATTTAGGATAGAACATACTATTGTTAGATATATTGAGGTATTTTTGTATTTCTAGCTTGTATTCTTTTTTTGCCGCGGTCAAAAAAAGCAAATTCAGGTGTTACGGCTTCCTTTTGGGTTATCGACAGGACAAAAACACCCCAACAACAATATTCATCAAGGATCCATGAGTTTCAACGACTGCAAAGAGTAAATATAAGCTTTTCTTAACAATTTAAATTACAAATATAGATATATGATGAATTTATTTTGCATTCAGGGCCTTATGTAAACTATGCATACTGTAAACTGTGATCTTAAGCTGAGTCATCATAAATAAGGCCCAGGGTTTTCTCAATCTTCATGAAATATTTATAAAACTTGATATTTGAGTTAATTTCATTAAAATCTCTGAGATAAACCAGATTTAGTGAAATTTTATATATTCCCTTTTTTACCCAATATAGGTTGCCCTTCTGTAAATATAGACAATGCAATTTCCCATGGGAACTCCATTTGCGGCTTAAGCTGTGCCACTTTTACTATCAAGCAGCTTCGTGAAAAATTATATCCTTGAACGGAATGTTGATATACAGTACTTTTTTATTCAAAGGTCAAAACATAGGGCTGTGCGGCATATTTTCAACATTTATATGCCCCCCCAATTCTAAGAGTTTAAACTTATACTAAAATTCTGTACAACCCCTACCTTCACTTTGAGGGTCCCTCAGAATTCAATTTTCGCCGCTACCATGTGTTTTTATACTGGTAACATTCCCAAGTTATTTCTCTATGAGATAAAACATAGATAGATCTATGAATATTATATATCTCCCCAAAAGAGGCGTGGCTTATGAAACAGCTGTATTTACAAAGTGCAACCTCTATGTCTAGTCAATTTTTGTTCATATTCATTTGGCGTGGCTATGTATTCATACATCCCGCCATTGTGTTATTGTGCTATGGTCACTTTTCTATGGTTGTCTTTCAAATTTTTACTGCTATACCCAAGTTTTTTGACATGTTTACCTATTATGTCTGTTTGTTTTGTTCACACATTAAAGGACTTCCCGTTTTGAATTTTCTTTGGAGGTCGGTATTCTTGTTACTCTTTAGTGTTAATAAATCCTCCAAGGGGTCAATAGATTATTAAGAACATGTTGACTTATTTTTAGATTTTATTTTACTGAACATTTTGGCTATATATGGTTGACTTGTTTGTAGAATTTATTTTACCGAACATTTTTGCTATATATTGTTGACTTGTTTGTACAGTCTATCTTGATATACATTGTTTCTTTCTATATTTACTAGTTCTACAAAATATACACAATATATTACTCGTCTAAAATACAAAACCTCTTGTTCAAATTTTTTTCTAATTTTAGAAATGTCTTACTTCCATTTAGGGACATGAATCATGTGAATGCAATTCAAAATGGACTGAAATGTAGTGGTTAGACGAATGAGTTGTACGAAGGTAATTTAAACCACACCAGTTCAGATGTTACCTAAGAGCAAACTAAAAGCAGACTACATTGTTTGAGTCTTAATAGAATATGATTTGTGTGGTTTCCTGTATTTATCATTTATTTCTAATTTGGTATGAGTAATTTTTTATACTATTATCAAATTACATAATACATTTGTTTATATATAATAAAAATATATCAGTTTTAGATATTATCACTTCTTTTCATATTTTCAGCTCTCATTTTTCCCGCTATTTAAAACAATTACCCCAGAGTCAGCTGTCTTGCCATTTTAAATAACAAAACCTGGGGGATGTTTTATTAGATGTACTCCGTATCCATTAAAACACTTGGAATACAACAATTGTTTCTAGGCACCTGCGCTAAATCTGGGATTGATACTGATGCGGTTCTAGTATATTTTAACCCACTAGAAACCAGGGTTAAACATTTTTTTTTATATAAAATAAAATTGAGAATGGAAATGGGGAATATGTCAAAGAGACAACAACCCGACTAAAGAGCAGACAACAGCCGAAGGCCACCAATGGGTCTTCAACGCAGCGAGAAAATCCCGCACCCGGAGGTGGTCCTCAGCTGGCCCCTAAATAAAATTGTGTACTAGTTCAGTGAAAATGAACGTCACACTAAACTTCAAAACATCTAAATGAACTAAAATTAAATCAAAGCACCGTCGATGTTGTGATCCAGCCATATTCATAGCTAGTCTGATATTCTTTCTGACCATACTTTTTCGATATTTTTTTCTCTTTTCATTTCCAATCTTACTGTTAAACTTCTATGGTATTGTCCACATGTAGGGAATTTCGCAATATTGATGCAAATAATGATATATATATCTATTGATATTTCAATTTTAGACTCTGCCAGATTTTTTTTTATAAATACTTGCAATTTAATGGTATTGACATGAATGGAAAGGGAAATCGTCAAACAAGTAATATATTTTTTTTATATGCCATTAATTATAACTGGCTTAATAATTTCCAGAACGAGGCCTTGGAAATGCAATTTCTCAACAACAAAAATGAAAAAAAAATAATAACTAATTTTTATCTAAATTGGTGTTCATTCTTCATTAAGAAAAATACATTTCCTATATTTCAAATTTAAATGTACAAATACCTAATGTTGAGATATTTTCAATTACTGTTAAATAGCAATATAATGGGATATAAATGTAGAAAAAACAAATAAAGTTTATTGCAGAAAATGCTCAGGTAAGAATTAAGCAATTTTGGTTATTGTTTCAACCAAATTTCTGATAATTGTAACTAATTAATTAGATCTTGATTATTGACTTATGTCAGATGATAATGACACTGATTTTACAAGTGAAATAAAATTTGCTTGCATATTTTATACATATTTTTACATTTTTTGTCTTTTTTTTGAAAAAAAACACGTCTGAATAATCATTCAGCTAGCAAGCAAAATTAACAGAATATTTTAATGTAGTGTAGATCAAAATAAATAATACATTTGTAGGTATACTATTGAGGTCAAGAACGTGTGTATTCAGTTAGGTGTGTAATAAATTGTGCCTATTTAATTATGTAACAGGTCATGAGATATTGAATGTGGTGAATTAAGACTGGGGTTGTTTCCAATTAATACTTAAACCTTTGAGTGTAATTATTTGAAAATCGTGACAGTTTATAATCATACTGACTCTTACTTGCCTATGGAAAGAATTGGAGTAATACCATTTCAAAAAAGTGTGGGAATCAACTTAGATATATTAACACACATGTTGACCTAAATTTCATAGAACAAAAACTTACTCAAGCATAAGATCTTAATATAATACTTTCAAAATTGTTATCAACTGATTCAATTGATGTAAAAATACTTTTTCAATTTATTTCATAAATATTAAATCATTATAAATTTTGATTTACAAAGGAACTATATGCAAGTGTATATCTAAAATAAAAGGTTTGTTCGACCAATCTTTTCTTAATTTAAGGGCAAACAACATGTCAAAAGTTGGCAGTTGATGATTAAAATGGTGTAGAAAGTTTCTGCAAGTCATAAAAACACATAGTTAGTTTCATGATATGTCTTCAACTTAGTATTCTGCACCATCTCCAAAAAACAGAGTGATCGCATAGATCCAGCATGGCTGAATCAAAAACATACAAGACTAACAAAGGCCAGAGGCTCCTGACTTGGGACAGGCGCAAAAATGCGGCGAAGTTAAACATGTTTTGTGAGATCTCAACCCTCCCCCTATACCTCTAGCCAATGTAGAATAAAGAAACACAATGCAATACGCACAGTAAAAATCAGTTCAAAAGAATTCCGAGTCCGATGTTAGAATAGGTAACAAAAGAAACTAAGTAAAATGACAATGATACATAAATTAACAAAGGACTACTAGCAGTTACTGACATGCCAGCTCCAGACCTCAATTAAACTGATTGAAAGATTCTGTCTTCATCATATGAAAATCAAGTACAATCCCTCCCGTTAGGGGTTTAGTATCATACCATCATACAATATATGAGAAGAACATAACCCGTATCATGCCAACAACTGGTTTTAGAATAATAGTGTTTATTTCCGATGTTTAATCTTTGTTTATTTCACCTTTGTTCAAGGTTTTCAAAATCAATAATATTTAGGTGATCTCAAATTTAAATTACACCGTGCATTGGATAGGTTTTCTTAAAACAACTTAGGTCTAATTTGATTCATATATTATCTATTTTGAGAAAACTATCCAATGCACGTTAATTTAAATTTGAGATTAACCTTTGTCATGTTTGTCCTATTTTTCTCAAAACTATATACAAGAAGATAAACCTTGATAGAATTTTACACTAATGTTTTATTTTTAGAAACAGATATAATAATTGTTGGTGTACATATTCCCAAAGAAGATAACTTTTGTTAGCATTTGGCTAAGTAGTTTTAGAGAAGATTTTTTTAAGGTGGGATAGAGAGGAGGGTATATATATGAGAGTCTGGTTTGGGTGCATAGAATACAGAATAAAAAGCAAAACGTTAAACATTAAGGGCAAAAAAAATAAAGAATAGAGAAAATTAGGCTAAAATAAAAGAAATATAATAAATCTGGATGCTAAAATAGAAAGACTAGAGAATAAATTGCTTCGCCGGGCGCAGCTGGATACGACCGCAGAGGTCCGACCATGAACAGTTGGGGCAAAAATGGACACAATATTCGCGCTTGTTACAGGTCTGAATTTAGATTGTAATTCAATATTTGACACATAATAGGTTTCTGACACAGAATAACTGTAGTCAAAGAACTTAGAATTGGTTATATGATTTGAATTTATATTCAATTTTTGCTTTTGTGCAATACACTATGCTGTTGCGAATTGACCTCCCCCCTTCTTTTTCAAAAGAATTTTTTTTTACCGCCCCTCAAGACATGGTCATCATCTCAATTCAAATTTCCAATGGAGTTTGCAACCATAATTTACCCATTTAAGTACATCATAAGAGTCTTAAAATAGAAAATGACATACATAATCATAGCTAAAATTAATTTACCTTAATCAGCATTTTTAAAATTATTCTAATCACCTCAAGACAATACAACATTTCTTTAAATATTATTTAAAATCAGTGTAAGGGAGGTAATTCAAAGTTGTGTTTGAATTACCTCCCTTACATTGTTATTTGTACTTAAGTAATTGTCCATTAACCAGGACACCCTTGTTTTTTCGCACGTTTTTGCCGTTAATTCCTAAACGGTTTGAGCCATTACCCCCAAAGCCAATCCTAACCATCCCTTTGTGGTATGAAAACTTGTGGTATAATTTCAGAGAGATCCATACACTGTTCCACAAGTTATTGTCATGAAACTAGAAAAATGCTTATTTGGGCCCCTTTTTGGCCCCTAATTCCTAAACTGTTGGGACCATAACCCCTCAAAATCAATCCAAACCTTCCTTTTGTGGTTATAAACCTTATGTTGAAATTTCATAGATTTCTATTTACTAATACAAAAGATATTGTCCGGAAACCAAATGTCTTCGGATGACGCTGACGACGATGACACTGACGACGACGACGACGACGACGTGATACCAATATACGACCACAAAATTTTGTGCGTTGGTATAAAAATGGCTCAAAACAAAATAAATACAGAATATGACATAACAATAAAAGTACAGAAAAGAAGGACCCCCTCCCAAACCCCAACCGGATTCTGATAGATCACAATACGGAGACATTTGCTCTGGCTTTGAACATGACTTTTTTAGATCTAAAATAGAAAACAGAATTACTGACACAAACTCTGAAACTAATAAATATGTTATAGTAGGTTGAAAATTCAGTGAAGACAGGAAGGCAGGAAACATAACTACATGTATATACATTATTTTAAATCCGTAAAAAAGGGGGGATTTGTTTGTTATATGCATGAAAGTTTTCACACGTTTGCTTCATGATAACTGGTGCTCAAATAAAGACGTAAATTACCTTTAAAACTATTAAAACCAACTCTTGTTTTCAACCCATATTGTTTTCCTTTCCTCTTCTACTTTGGTATGCCTTTAAAAATGTTCATACTTGTTGATGTTCAGTGTAATTGCTTTGGAAATTCCTATTTTCGTTTTTGCATCTGTTCTGTAAAGGTTTGTACTTTCATTCGTCATTATCGGAGCACTCCCGTTTGGAATACACTATTAGGGAGGGTCTGGATTGGGGTCCTTCAATTCTGCATTTCTTTAATTTTTCAGGTTATTTTTTTCTATTCTTTATATGTTTGCCCATTCGTCCCTATTCTTTATTTCTCAGAATCCACTTTTTCTATATTTTTATTTTTCTCTATTCTTTATTTTTTTAGCCTATTATTCTGCAGTAAAGGCCATTTATTTTCTATTCTGTAAACCCCATCCAGACCCTCATTTACAATTCGAACATTTAAATTGAAGGTATCAGAATACTAGAAATTACACGCTCTGTTGAGCGTTTAAATAGTTTTATTATAAAAGCAATACAATTCAATTCAAATCAAATTATTTCAGTTTAAAATCCAAATATTTGGTTGTCACCAAGACATACAAATATACAAAATTGAAGGCCGAGCAATGTTTAACAAAGACACAATCACATTTATACGCAAGCATATTAAGCATATTAAAGTATAATTATATTTATGTTTGGATAAAAGATCGGAGGAAGTGATATTCATGATATTTTTGCACAAATGAAAAAATACAATATTGTAAATATGAAAATAATATAATAAAAATAAAGAAAAGTATGACTTATACATAGACATAAATATGTATTAATTGATTGATTGATTTTCGCTGTTTAACGCATCTCTCAATTTCATGGCGGCCACTTTTTAATAATAATAATAATAATAATAATAATGATAATAATAATAACTAGAGGCTCTCAAGAGCCTGTGTCGCTCACCTGTATTTACTGATGCTTTGGAAATCATGTAAAATAAGGTTAAAATCATAATTAATAGTATTAGATATTAGATATTAGAATGATATCTACGTTAATAACAAAAAACTGCAAAATTTTTGTAAAACTAATAACTCAGGGGCAGCAACCCAACAACAGGTTGTCGGATTCGTCTGAAAATTTCAGGGCAGATAAATCTAAATCTGATGAACATTTTTGCCACCTGTCAGATTTGCTTTAAATGCTTTAGTTTCAGAGATATAAACCAAAAACTGCATTTTACCCCTATGTTCTATTTTTAACCAAGTCGGCCATGATGGTTGGAAGGCGGGGTCATCGGACACATTTTTTAAACTAGATACCCTAATAATGATTTTGGCCAGTTTGTCTCAGTAGTTTCAGAGAATAAGATTTTTGTAAAAGATTACAAACATTTACAAAAAATTGTTTAAAATTGACTATTAAGGGCAATAACTCCTAAAGGGGTCGACTGATAATTTTGGTCATGAAACTTATTTGTAGATCTTACTTTTCTGAACATTATTGCTGTTTACAGTTTATCTCTATCTATAATAATATTCAAGATAATAACCAAAAACTGCAAAATTTCTTTAAATTCACCAATTCAGGGGCAGCAACCCAACAACAGGTTGTCAGATTTGTTCGAAAATTTCAGGGCAGATAGATCTTGACCTGATAATCAGTTTTACCCTGTCAGATTAACTTTAAATGATTTGGTTTCAGAGATATAAGCCAAAATCTACATTTTACCCCTATGTTCTATTTTTAGCCATGGCGGCCATCTTGGTTATTTGGCGGGGTCATCGGACACATCTTTTAAACTAGATACCCCAATGATGATTGTGGCCAAGTTTTGTTAAATTTGGCCCAGTGGTTTCAGAGGAGAAGATTTTTGTAAAAAGCTAACGACGACGGACCAAGACGACGACGACGACGCCGACGCCGACGACGACGGACGACGGACGACGGACGCCAAGTGATGAGAAAAGCTCGCTTGGCCCTTCGGGCCAGGTGAGCTAATAATAATAATAATAATATTAATAATAATAATAATAATAATAATAAAATATCTATTATTATGTATAAACATGTATAAACAGTATGTTTATCACATACAGGGTGGTCAAATAAGAAAAATCAAGTTCTTCACTAAAAATATAACGTATAGGTCTACGCAACCTTTCAACAAGAATGATTTTATTCACTACGTATCTTAATGTCCCCTTGATGAAAAATAGAAACTGATGATACTGATGGAGCGATACTTAGCTTTATAAATATTTTTCCTGAAATGTTGAAGCATCAAACCCAACTTGTTAAAAAGAAAGACGCATTCAAATGCATTTCTTTCACTGTAAAGTAAAGCCGTTTTCTAAAATAATAATAGTCAAGAATTAAACCCTTGAAATAAGTTACTGAATCGAGACACAATCTTTTACTGTAAGGTCGGCGTTTTACAATAAACAATTTCAACTAGGACTACTAATAATGAATAAATGTAGCGAGGCGTAATCAAAAGCAATATCTCCTCCTTACAGCAGGCAAAGACGTTTTAAAATGGCGAACCTCGAACCCCTCACAATGAATAACAGTAGCAAAATGTAATACATTTTACATTCAAGAGGATATTATTTGAGTTAAATATCCCTGTGAAGACGTTTCTAAATTTTAAATGGTCAACAATGAGTAACCATAACAAGACACATTCAAATGCAATATTTTCTATTGTACGGTATCGACGTTTTCTTTAATAAAAATTGTTGGCCATGAATCTCTCGCTATGAGTAACTGTTATGGGAAACTTTCAAAGGCAATATCTCACACTGTAAGGTATAGATGTTACAAAAGAAACTGGTACTGCACTCTGACATTGGGTTTGATAAGTTAAACTGAAACCACACTCTATCTACATGTTTAACAAGAGAAACTTATACCACACTCGGCCATTAGCGGAAGGAAAACTGATACCACAATCTGTCGCCAGCGTAAAAAAGTTAAACTGGTACCATACTCGGCCTTCAGTTTTAACCAAAGAAACTGATACCATGCTATCACATCAGCGTAAGTAAAAAAATCTGATACCTGACGATAGTTAAGTAAGTGAAACTGGCATCGCACTCTGCTATCATCCCGAGTTAGAAAAACTAAAACCATACTCTCGTGTCAGCTTAAACAAGCAAACTGCACTCTGCAATCAGCGTTAGTAAGTGGAAATGATTTCGTACTTTTCGGTATTTTTGTTATTTTACTTTTTGCCGCCAGCTTGGATAATTTGAACTGGTACCACAATCTGCATACAGCTTTATCTGTACACCGTCGTCATCTTTAGAAAGCTACGTCAGCTTTGGTAAGTGAAATTGAATTCTATTCGCAATCTGCGCACTCAGTCGTCAACTTTAGTTAGTCTGACCTAAACTTTGAAGTTGGTCAGCACTATTTCTATAACTTGGGAGGTGATCCACAGACCTTCATAGGTTGACACGAATCTTTCAATTGAAATTAAATCCGACAATACTACACTAAGGTCAGTAACTTCTTGAAATGGTAGAGTTACAGTCTCCCAAGCCTTTGTTTTCTCCTTACCATTAAGGCTGTACCATGAATTCAGTCCACAGTCATAACTTGATTGATTTAGTTTTTTTTAAATATCAGTATTAAATATTTCATGCTTTTCGGGAACACAATTAAACTAGGATAACTTAAAACATGAAGTATTAATCCAATCAACAAAAAAAGACACTAAGCACAGATCTGAGAGTACTCGAGGTAACTGACAGCTAGTTCAAAGCCATTAACGACTAATTTTTAATTAACTGATAACAAAATCAATGTTTATACCAATAAAGCAATATTCAAAGATTTAATTACAGTGTGGCATTGGTAACATTTAAGAATAAGTTTATTTAAAGAATCAATAAGTTTACCCGGATCGTATATAAATTTCCGGGGTCGGAAAACAACGATTTTGTAAAAATTAGGTTTAGCTTTTCTTCGGAAAATGCATGTACCAAGTCAAAAATCTGACAGATGTTCCGTTGATTAATAGCGTTTGTTTCTGTTTGATTTTTTATGACTTCCCCTTTTTGAATTTGCCTTGGAATTCGGTATTTTTGTTATACTTATTTCGGTTGTTTTCAACTTTATCATGCCAGCTCCGAGTTGTTCTCATTGATGAATGTCGAACTGACTGAATTTTCTCTTTTGACGGTCCCATTTTGTCCACATACGGTCTCTTATGTCTTCATAATATCTATTTGAATTGATCAAATAATACACCAGTCATTATCTGTAACACCTTTTGGTTTAACCTTTTGGAATTTTGAATCCCCTGTGCTCTTCAACTGCGTAGCAATTTGACCTTTCTAACTCTTTACAACCACTCGGTCGATGCCAATGCTGATGCGTGTTTCATCTACAAGGGTATCACCATCCCAGCAGTCAGGACTTCTGCTTTGATATGAATGATCATTAAAATGGTCATAAATATGAATCAGCTGTTGGAAAAACTTTGAATTGTTCGACATTCTAAGGATTTCTATCTCCGGAATAAATAACTTTAGCTGTATTTGACTTAACCATGCGGATTTGTTGGTCCCCTATGCTCTTCAACTTCGTACATTATCTGGCCCTTTTAACTTGTTTAATTCGAGTGTCGTTTGTTAACTTGACGAAACGCAGAAAGTGGTGTACAAAATGTGAATCCTGGTGTCTATGGTGTGTTTATGAACAATATTTAAAGCCATTATTATCACTTTGAAAATGTGTAAGGGTTCATACGTAGCCCTGTGTGTAAAACTTAACTTATTGTAGTTTCTGCATAAGCATAATCTTTATATTGTTTTTTTTTATTTTTTGGTTTGTTGAAAACTTTAAAGCATCTGTGGAAAGGAAGTTAGGAAAGAACAAATTCAAACCTGAAGGAAGAAAAGTTATTTGACATTTTGGACATTTTTTTCAATAACATAAACAAGTCATGGAAGAGGAACTTGTTTACTATGGAATTAACTACAAATTCAAACTTGTTGATAACAACGAGACACACCTCTGCCTTTACATTGTATTGCTTACTTTGTGGAAAAAAAACATCGTCAGTTGGCTAATTAGGATTTTTATATGCACATACGTAATCATGTTAGATAATTTTGTGTTGCTGATCATTTTTGAAATTTACAAGTTAAACCTAGCTACTATAGTTCAAAATACAAGCAAAACTACAAATTTACTGTGAAAAC